TCAAATGTCTTCTTAGACCATGACTACATAAATAATTTTTGATTAGTAGACCTTTCAGAAGAGGAAGCAAGGCATGTAGATGGTGATTTTAGCTGATCCATCATATTCTTTTTTTGTTGCAATTTCTTTTTAACAAAGTTGTAATTTGTTTAATTATAGATTGACCAATCTAATCCTTTTTTGTCATGTACACTAAAACGTTTTATATACCCAATAACACAACTAGTCCTGTCTCATGTGTACACCAAATAACATGATTTATCTTTTCTTAATAATCATGAGGTTCAAACACCTTAAGGAGCAATTATTTACTGGGAATTAAATGATGATATCAAAGTAAAAAGAGAGAGAATGCTATACTTCTCAATAGTATAAAAATGCTGTGAAAAAGATTGGTATGTACCAAATAACATAACTTGTTATGTGACTGTTTTTTTAACTCTATTTCATGATAGATACACAAATAAGGAGCAATCTTCATCAAAAAATAGAGCCTATTCAAACTACATAAGTTGAGAAGACATGAGAATGCTGTAAGAACAAAATGTTGAGCTTGCTTGACCAAAAAAGAGAGCAACCCATAAGAACAAAATGATGAGCCTGCTTGACTAAAAAAGAGAGCAACCCATGAGAAGCCATATGTTGTATAAATGAGCTAGACAAAATGAGCCGAAATGAAGACTTCATGCAGGAGGATCTTCATGAAGGAGGATCTAAGTCAATCATTGAACCTGTATTTGTAGTGTTAATCAATATGTAGTGGGAGTCTTGAAATTGTCAATTATTTTTAGATGAGACAATGCTATGTAAAAAACAATTCAGATTTTAATAAAAGTGACTGATTTTTTTCTTTCAATTATCATTATTCTTTATGGTTACCATCATTATATGTTTGGTTAAAATCAAATGCTTCAAGCGAAGTGATGTCGCAATCACATGATGCCTACAGTCAAGAAATAAGAAGAATGTCTCAATTTACACATGCCTTACATGAAAAAACTAGCTTTATTATGTTGTCCAACATTATATGACATACCATCAACAAATTTGTGAAAGTCATTTGACTTGGTTGAAGGTTATCCAACATCATAGAATTATGTTGCACCTGAGTTGATGAGCTAGATTTTTGAAGTTGACTATGTTATCCCTAAAACATATTCAAAAGGAAACAACAAAGATATAACAAACATCTACATAAAATTGAATTGATCAAAAATTAAATTGATCATAAGTATACCTGTGAAGTTTGTACTGAATGTGAAGCTTGAGGAGGTTTTTTAGAGGTTGTTGTTTTTTGTTTTCTTAAACGAGTTTCAACAGCTCTTTATCCGCTTACTTGTCTTTCTACCATATCTTTTTTTAAACCCAACAATTTTTCCACAATCATTATTACCATCATGATTCTCCACATGATCCTTACTACCATTATTGCTATCTGATAGATATTTTATGTGTAGCTTAGTTACTTTCTTACTAAGTTCTAACACAGCTTCATGGACAAGAGAGAATGCCTCCAGACTTTTTGATGCATCACTTGGTAATTTTAGAAGTAGGGGGCATAATTGTCTATATCGATTTGATCTTTGTTGTTTAGGATCAACTTCAATTTGATTTTCCTTAAAATCATACACTACCCCACATCTTGCTTCTCTTGTTCACCTCTTCTCAATATATTTTTGAGGGAGCAATTTGATATCAAAGTCATTTAATACCCTCAATGCATGACAACATAATATGCCCATTCGTTCAAATTTTTGCAGCTAATCGTCTCTATTGAAGGATCAAATGTCAAACTAAACTCTTTTTTCTTATCATCCATGGTGGTAAGATAATCAAACACGATCACACTATCCTCCTCATATTCATTTTTCTTTCTTTCTTTTCTCTCTTTTATACATGTAGCATCGCGTTGATCATATTGGTGTTGGAACAAGTTAAAAATAAGTCGAGTATAGACATCAGAAAGTTGACAAAGCATGCATAAACTCTACAATATCAATCTTGGCACCTTGTCACGTGCCTCAAAATCACTTTTCAATTCATTATAACGCTTATCCTTTAAAACTTGTTCAAATTGACACAAGAATCAATTGATATCCAATTGAACATTGGTGTAACTTTTAACAGATGCATTGACACTTTCATTAATTTGAGTACTCATACCAAGTGTCCTTGTGTTCTTCATATAACATACTGCCCATTTCTCTTTTATTTGGTACATAGACATTAACCACATGAGTTTTCTGTCATACTTTCTTTTGATAATAATGCTTGCCAAGCTTCTTTAAACTCTGTTTCATCCCAACAATGATACATGCACTGGTTGAAATCACTAATCATTGAATTTGGAAGATGCTTCATTGCATTCCTTGAAATATGCCATGTGCGCAGGGCATGCTTTACTTCTGGCATCACTTCTTGTAATGCTCGTGCCATAGCAACATCTTGGTCAATGGAAATGGTTAGAGGCCTTAAATTCTTATGTGCACATAAAAAGGTCTCAAAGAGCTATTTAAAAGTCTCAATGGTCTCATCATATAACAATGCCACTCCAAAAATAACCCCTCCTTTGTAGTGGTCAAAGCCATAGACAATTGCAAGAGGTATATGGTTACTGTTTGTGCAATAAGTTGTATCAAGTGAAATGACTTCTCCAAAGCAAGCATAGTCAATCAACATGCGTGCATCAGCCCAGAACACATTAGTCACTTGCTCCTCTGAGTCCATTTGGTGAGCATAAAAAAAGATGGATTTTCTGCCAACTGTTGCTCAAAATAACAAAATAAACATCCAACATCACCATATTTCATGGCCCGTTGCCTTCTTGAATTAAGATAATTTTTAACATCATCTCTTGTATATCTCAAATTATCTCGACCTCCTGCATATTAACTTTGCAAATTGAATGCTGATTTTTTATTAATCCTAACCTTTTCAGCATTTTCTTATTCATATTGTTGAGCTAGTGTTATCCCTCGATGTGATGCAAATAGATGAACAACTTCAGGAGGTTAAAGATGATGATTATGATCTAAAACAACTTCACTTATTCCGTATTTTCCATCTACTAGCTTAACTTTCATTCTAGCTTTACAGCCTGTTCTTGTCTCATCTCTAGGCTTCCTTGTTTGCACATCTCGCTTATCTGGTTTTCTCACCCATTCTTTATTGCAAACATATAGATAAGATGAATATATTGACTTATCTTTTTTACTCTTGTCAAACTTTTGCTTTTGAACACCAAAACCAGTTCTTCGACCATATGCCTTACAAAATTCCCATGATTCTTTTATATCATCAAATTCAAGATTAAGTCTAGGAGTCAAATTCGTAGTCATGGTATAAGCCTCCTGCAAAATTGCAATGTATGTACCCAATATACATTGATTATAAAATGATCACCTATTAACGGCATCAAAATTTAATAAGACATGAGGTGACCAAAAATGATTTCTTCTAAAATATTATCTAAACTTTATTGCACTTCCATCTACAAAATTATTTTATTTATTTCATTTTAATAACAAATAAATTTTCCTCCAAACAACTAAAATGAAATGAACAATAAACTTATACCTTTGTGGGTAGTGAATGAAAACCCCTGTTGGACTTGGGTGGTGTTTATATAGGGAGCACGTACACATGCTGCTTCACATAAACAAAAATAAAATCATAGTAATTATTTATTAATGGACACGATGTGAGTTGATTCATTTTACCACTATTATACTCTGCTTCTTTCAAAGTCAAGAGCATCGAAGACACAAAGGCAATGGAGCTCAGGAAAGAGTTGCAGAGATTGAAGTCAACTGTGGATATTTCATAAAAGTTGTTTACTCACCAATCTTTAATATTTGGTATCCATTCCTTGCTAGAACTCCTCTCTAAAACTCATTCCCACCACTAGCTTTGACTTTCTCACATTGTTGAATGAAGAGAAATGGGAAATTGATCTTAAATGCATTGGACGATTGAGATTGAACGAGAAAATGGACAGATAAGATTGATTATATGGAACAACGTCTTTCAAGATATTGGATGGGAAGTGAATGGGAAGGCAGTGGAGAGAAACCGATCCCCCCTATAACATTACCCAATTCTACATACATGGATTTGTCTAATATCATATAACCAGTAATTTCTCATACTAAGCATTTTTTTAATAAATTTTCTCAATCCCAATCCTAATTCTTATTTCTCATTTTTAATATTTCGTATCGTAGACAGCAATATGCGGCTGGATTACAACTTCAATTCAAAAGTGGCAGATTTAGGGCTTTCAAGGCTTGACATAACAGACACATCACATATCTCAACCGCTCCACGAGGGACACCAGGTTATGTTGCCCCTTCATATGAGCACAGCTTCCCCCTCCCTAACAAGAGTGATGTCTATAGTTTTGGGGTGGTTTTAGTAGCAATAATGGCTGCCCTGAAAGCGGTTGATTTTTCTCGACCTCTTAATGAGGTTAATTTGGGAAGCACTTGCAGTTGATAGGAGTGGAAGGGGTTGTTTGGAGGAGATAGTGGATCCTTTCCAGTCATCAGATGAGGATGAATGGACCAACTATTCTGTTCGCAAGTTGGCTGAGCTCGCATTTATATGCGTTGAGTCACGAAGAGACATCAGGCCTGCTATGATGGAGGTAGCAGAGGAGTGAGAATACATCAAAAGCAGTGGATGCAGGAAAAATGGACGAAACTATATGCACGACATTTCCAGAGGCGTCTCTTATTCATGAGAGCTTAGTAAAACTGAGACTTTGACGGTTCCTGCAGACGGATAATGCTCAACAATTTGTGGAGGAGGTCAAGGGCAGCTCCTTAACCCTTATCGGTATATCATATCATCATTGGCTAAAAGGACATGAACCAGCTAATATAATACTCAATCCCTAGTTTCCTTCTTCCCTCTCCTTGAATCAAGCTGATAACTTGATGCAATCAAGATCATATGTGAGTCATTATGTTTTTCTAGACAATCATATGTTTTGAACAAATTAACAAATATGTTGGACATATATAATTTCGGCACATCTTTCGTAAATCACAGCAAAAGTAAGCTGATTTGTGTAGTGAGACGACCACTGAAACATAACGTAAGAAATATTCACAGGAAGTAACAGATTCTACACCCACGCACACAGATTTATCGTTCAATTCAGCTTTGCACTTTACGGTACCAAGCTAATGCGTTCATGTGAGGCTAAAATACAAAAGTTCTCGCACAACTTACAGAATAAACATGTAACACCCACACAAAAGCCCATTGCAAGTTGATCAACAAGCATTAGACGCATTAGTCTGTAGCGTCATGACTTTTGAGCTTCCGGCCCCAAAATACCGTTCACTACGGCCGTTGCAACCAGAACACCAAAAACCTCTGCTCCAGCCACCACTCCTGCCTGTGCCAAACCACCAAAACTCACCGAATCGGATATCTCACTCTCTGCCGCTTCTATTCCCTTCTCCGCCGCCTCAATTCCACGCTCGGCCGTTTCCAGTCCTTTGTCCGCAGCTTCGAAGCCCTCTCTCACAATCTCCTCGGCTGCTTCTTCTGCCTTCCTAATATTCTTTCGAATTCCGAACAGAGGAATGTCTTGCGCCTTGGACGTCCGTTCCCTCGCCGTAAGCGCCGTAGACGCCGTCAGAAAGAATAGCAACTGCCTCCGCCCCGAAAGGGCGTTGATAGGAAATGCCGGCATAGGTTTGGTTGCGTGCGCCTTGCAGGAGGATAGTGTAGCATTGCGCACAGGGTGGAGTGGAAGAGTTCGGTTCAGAGGTGAAAGTGCGGAAGCCATGAATCTAAGGTTGAGGAGAGACCAGGCTGATCAATGATGATATGGTGATAGTGGGGGCCAACGTTGGATTTTGTGGTCTTGCGTCGACGAATCATCTCAACCATCTCAATGCTTGACCCGCAAGCAAAAGGCGCTGAAAGATGGAATAAGGATTCCGGATTGATCTGTAGTTTTGGGCCTTCGGGTAACATACATATTGGGAGGATTGTTATGATATTTCACATAATTTTTTTTTATCACCACATAATTACCTCAAAACTTCCAATGACTAAAAAAAAAAAACTCATCGCTTGTTATTGAAACCTTTTAATAAACATTCAATAAGTATAACAGTCTACGAAGTACAATTAACAACTGGAAAAACACGAGGGTATAAGAAGAAAATAAATTACAGTTATTACAAACAAGAACTTCTTCTTTAATAAACAACTATTACACGCAAGAACTACTTCTTTAATAAACAACTTCAGGAAAAAAGTTATGTTTTTTTAAAATCTCATAAATTATTATAAAGAACTTCGACATAAAATTCATTAGTATTAATATTAATTAACTAATTAATTAATAGAAATTTTAAAGTAATTCATTCGATCCATATAAATAGATAATTTATTGTATGTAAGCATTTTCTTGAATCAAATAAGTGATGGTATCATCTTATGCTCTATCCATTATTATTTATTGGGAAAATCTTAAAAAACTTCTTGAATTTCAAAATGCTAAATTAGGAGAGTTAGCACAAGCTGCCAACTTATCAAATACTAAAATTGTTCATCGTTATTTAAATTTTAATGAAATAAGTTTGTTTAGAGTTAGCAGAAGCTACTAACTTATCAAATACTTTGAAAAATACACAAATGGCATTTAAATTATTAATACACCTATTCACCCTTATAGGTGTATTATAAATAATCAACTTATAAGCTGAACATGATCAATTGACAGATGTAGGTGCCTGTAATGTTTCTCGTTGAGTTTGTGTTGAATGACTCGAAGCTGTTTTACATCAGTATTCTTAATTGAATGATAGTGTTCGTGGCTATTATCTGAGGAGAAGAAGGGTTTTACCTGCAAAAAGAGAGATTACCCTTTGCAGAAACTGTTTTCTCCCCCTTAAATTGTGCTTTTCCTTGCGGCTTTCATATTCCCTAGTGAATAAGCCAAATCAAAATTATGTCTTGCTTCCCTAGGATTGATCACCGCATCGGTATTTCTTGGTTTTATGGATATAGAAGCTGAGTCGATCTTGATGAAGAGACTAAGGATGTTTAACGATGTTTAATGCTAAAACTTGCGAATGAAAGAAAAATATCCGGAGAGTTTTTTCAATAATGGAAAAGGGACACTATTATTAAAATTCACTAAAATACACATAAAAACACTAAACTAAGAAGCCACCTCTCATCATTCTTCACCTTAACTTGTTCAAGATCTAAGGTGAAGGAGTGACCAATGGTAGAAAAGATAGAATCACTACCATAGCCTAACCCATTTAGCCCAATAGCTCCCACAATATTTTCTTTATAAACACAATTAAAATCAACATTCTAATCCCTGCTATAATTTCCCTTGTTTCCTCTATTCAATCGAAACGAGAATGTTTTTCGTAGCTTTCCTTATCACAGACAGCTTGGGCATTGTCAATAGTTACTTGTCAAATCACTCTGAAAATGCTTAAATTTGGCACAGTAACAACATATATCAGATACTCCAGAAAGGGAAAAGGAAAAACAATTTAGAAAACTGCTTTATTGCTAGTGTGAACGACGAAACCAAGACAGCCGAACATAATCACAACATAGCTAAGACAAATTCATGTCGATTGATAATGTGCGATGGAATATTCCCTTGCGTAACTAGGAGTGAGGCGTTATCTTCAGTGGCAAGCTGTTTCATGGAGGTGGTGTTCGTAAAAGACATGAGTAAATAAAGGGATGATGAACACGAAGTTAGAGGAATGGTATATATATAAGGAACCATAGGTTCACATTGGGTAAAATAGTTTTTTAGAAGCTGAACAGATAGCCAAGCTAGGAAGGAATGTGCTACAAAGTAGAGTGCAGAAGCTGCGGGAAATATACATGGGGAGGATGTGGGAAGCACTTGAAAAACTTGTATGGAAGCATTGATGAGGGAAAGCATTGTATGTGCCACTCTTGGCCTGGTGTGGTCATCCCCTCTAAAGCTTCTGCCACTTCCCCTGACCAACCATCGCAGTCTGCAACTTCTGCTCAAGGTAGTGCAACAGGGATGTTCATCTGCCCCCACCACCAAGTTCATTTTTATTGACATAACCGATCCTATCGAGTAGAATAAGGTTTATTGTTGTTTGATCAGTCCAAATCAATTACACGCTTTTAGAATTAATTTGCATGGTATGTGGCATGTGGCAGACTTCTGTAATCAAGAAAGGCAACAGGGCTTAATGCATGCACTTGAAAACTTGCAGAACACAATATCAGAGATCACCTTCAAGAAATCTGCGATTCTGGGAGAAAACATATAATACTGAACATATTTCGGACCTAAGTAGATCAAATATTCAAAAGGAAAAAAAAAATCACCTGGACACAACACGCAGGGAATTAGAAAGCTAAAACTCCCCACACGAGCTTGACGTGTCCCAATAAAGATAAAATGATACAAAATACTATTCCAGCGGTAATCTAAATCACAAAAGAACAAAACTTGCAGATCTTTATGCAAAATCCAATCCGATGAGTAAAAAAGTTGAAGTATGCAATTTCTAAATTAGTGTTTCTTTACTGCAGGTAATGGGGAATCATCACTCTCGAAGCAACCGAAGATGCTGGTTTAAAAAAGTTGTCTGTTTAAATTGGAGGATGGGTTTTTCACTTTCTTGGGCATCCGAGCAAAAAGAGATGGGGAATATCGGTACCTTCGAACAATAATCATATTATTAATCATGTTGTTTACGGTTGGTCATGTCAACATGACCGGCATAAGTCTGCATGCTTTTCACAGTGTTGATGAATCAATTAATAAACAATAAATTCATCTGTTCTTGTGCTCTGTTTCCACATGCTTCAACTTCCAGCACTAAATTATGGATTCTATGAGACCCCCCTCCCAAAAAAAAAAAAAAACCCAAAAGCAAAAAAAAAAGTCTCAGATTTAAGCTCCCACATCAATTAATAAATATTTTGCTTCATCAATCTGTCTATGGCCTCGAGCCAGATAGACTGGCAAAGAAGTTGGTCAAAAATCTGAAGTAAAATGACTCATCTAATGAGAGAATTTGTATCGATCACTTTGAGTAGCTATCACTACTTTAAAATAACTAGCGTTAGCGCCGCATAAATCTAAGGTAACTTTTACAATATTTATAGAACCTGTATATTTTATTACTTGTTATGTGTCTCAGAAAAGCATGCCCTCATTGAGCTTGAGCTCAAACGTTCTGACTTTGAAAGGTTGAGTTAGATTCTGGTTTGTGAGTGGTGAGTTGTAATCAAAGCGGAAAAATCATATGGTTTCAACCCAACCAGCAAAATATGCATGGCCAGTAGTTGCATGACTTTGTGGGATGTGAAAACAAATAACATGCTCACACAAATAATTTAGGGATGAAAAGACTCTTAAACACCCAAGTGCAACTTTACCTATCCTGAAATTGCATTAATATAGACATTTGAGCTATGATAATCTACTTTTTGAATTTAAATATTAGACTTGCACATTGTTTTCAAAATGACAACAAATTCATATTGGAAAAGAGTACACAAGAGCAACGAGCTGCCTCTTCAATTGTTTCTCACTGGCAAATGGAAGGAGTTGTTCTGAAGAGATGATACCTTTGTTGTCTAACCATGACTTCTGGGATCAACAACTTGGTGCACCTTCCTTGATTCAGCACTTGAATATTGTCCTATAACACGAGCATGAGGCACCGATGCTTCTCCACGGGCAAGGGCATCCACGTTCTCAAGCATCAACTGTCTTGGAAACCTGCCCACTACATTGCCCTCCTCATTCCCATCTTTATCAAGAAATGCGAAGTGTGGAATACCCTCAACACCAAACTCGTCCAGCTCTTGCTCCCACTTAGTATTATCCACATTCAACATAACAAAATTCACTCGATCCCTGAGTTCAATGAAAACATAGTGGCGTCAATATTGAATTTTAGTACAGAGTTATAGCCATATTATGGTTCCTAAAAGTTACCAATTCAAATAGGCAGCAAAAGAGAGATATGAACATAAAGAACTATGTCAGCAATAGAAGCCATTACTTGTACTGCTGCTCTACTTTGTACACGTCGGGAGCTAACTCCCTACATACTTCACACCAATCTGCATAAAATTCCACCACAGTGGGCTTCCCATTTGAAAGAGCCTGGAACATCCACCGACAAATGTACAACAATCATTAGCAAATATGATATTGCAACTGTAGCTGCAACATATAAAAATATATATACATATATATATGAATACACCGAAGTTTAGTAAGAGCAGCTCCTAACAGTAAATTATAAGCCATTATCAATCTATCATATCTTTAAAGACCTAGAATAACATTAATAAATGAACTGCTTACGATGGTAAACATAATATTGTGAATTACGCATTTTATCCTTGATCCACACACACACACACACACACACACACACACCCCTCGAGTCAATTTAGCTTTAAGGACCAAAAATCTCGTCTTAGACTACCCAAGCAAGCAAGCGCGCACACACACCCCTTGAGTCAATTTAGCTTTAAGGACCAAAAATCTCGTCTTAGACTTCCCAAGATTATTTCTATTTTTAAATAATGTTCACTTAAAGTATAATAAAATCACCAAGACCATTAAATACTTTTGTGGCCAACAAAACGCTGCATTTTATGACTCATGGAGACTTGAACCAGTAGCTTGGAAAAGTGATTATGCAATGTCTTGATGGCCACGTAAGCAGTTAGCGCCACATATTCTGGTAATTCACGTCACACAGCTCGTTAACTGTCTACTATGATCATATAGGCGTAACAAGAGGATCATTTAAGTACATAAGCAGTTTTTGGGAA